TCTGGTCTAGTGGAAGGTGTCCCTGCCCATGGCAGGGGGGGTGGAACTAGATGATCTTTAAAGTCCCTTCCAACCCAAACCATTCTATGATTCTGTCTATTTTTAAAAGTTTGTTTCACTAACATCAAGTATTTCTAGTACATCACCATACAAGGCGGTTAAAATGTAACTTCTGTTTTTTTAATCTATTGAAAAGAGGTGGATACAAACTAGAGAGCCTTTCTATACACAATTCCTTTATTAATGCACAATTTGGAAATGTTAAGAACTCCATCGATGACAGTAGTTGACACAGGCTTTCTTTCTTTCCCTTTAATTTTAGACATCATCCCTTTGATTCTAGTGATGCAGAAAGCAGCTTTCCAGTCCAGAATTACAAGGAAATAATTTCAGAACTCAACTTGAACCAGAAAATGGCATTTGCTTGACTATAATATTGTACACTAAGGTGATAGCAAATGATGTGCACTCAAGTTCTTTCAGGACAGACCATGAGAAAGTACTATCATAAAATGATGACAGAGAATGATACTCCAAGATTACAGGGAATAAGTCTAAAACTTATGGGTGCCATGTTTCATAATATGTGTTGGCTGTAAAGTAGGTGGGAAAGGAACTCTAAAGGAAGAATAAACATTGGAAACTCTTCGTTTCCCCTGGTGGGGATCAAAACTAGAGAGATCTATGTTCATTTAATTCCTTCCCTGTTTTCCTCCTCTTTCCTTCATGAATACACACGTGCATGCCCATACGTACATATATCTTGCAAGATGGGTAAAGAAAACATTCTAGCCAGCCATGGATTGTCTCCCATGGAAATTACTACTTCAACTGCACATATTCTTGACACATCAAAATAGTAGCTCAAAACGTACCATTTAAGTAAGACTTCTTTCATTAATTTCATCATGACAGCAACATCTAATTTAATTTTCTTAATTTGTTAGTAAATAATTCTATTTACAAGCACGTATTCAGTATGCTGTTACCATTAACTGCAGGAGCACATAATAATCCACTTTATTCAGGCTCTTTGTTGCACGTGTCAAACACATTTAAGCACTAATAAGCTAACACATTGCAATTCTGCATGTAGAAAACTTCTGAAAACATACAGGACACTTTAGCCATGCATTTCACAAACACTTGCAAGGTGGAGCAGAACACTGAGTATCAGGAAGCTTGGTTTTCACAGCCATGGTGAAATACTGGGGATACAGGTTATTTCCCACAAAGATGGCTCTGTGCATTTTCAAATTTTTTCTTTCCTAATTCTTTCAATATGTCCTATGGAAATCCTATCTCATTCCCCTTCCTGGCTGCTCATCCAGCCTCATGAACTCTAGTCAATCTTAATACTCACTCAGATGTTTCACAGCAGTATAATGTAATTCATGGCAATTCACAGACTCAGAAAGCTGCAAGAAACTTCAAGAGGCCATCCATAACAGCAGGGATGCTTCTAAAGGCAGTACGAGTGTGCACATACATCATTCCCAAAAGATACCTAAGCATTTCTGAAAAACCCTCACTACATTAATTGCCAGGGAAGCATTCATTGGTTTTATTTGTTCTGTTAAAAAGGTTACTTTCACATCTAATCTAAATCTTCCTGATATTTAGGTCCATTAATTCTTATTCTATCCAGCATGGGCAGCGAGATTTTTTCTTTCTTTCTTGCAGCAGTCCCTATGTAATAGAAGACTCTTAAGTTCCTCCTCAATCTTCTCTTCTTTAGAAGAAAAACAAGCATAGCTACTCAATCTTTCATTGCCTTTTATTTTCAAAACCTTGCATTGTTATCATTGTTCCAGTGTGGATTCTCTCCAGCTAGGCCACAACTATGGATGTAATACTCCAGCTAAGACCTTATCAAAGCAGAGTGAAGCTGAAGGTTTACTTCATACATTTTGAAAGTTACACTATGTCCTGTTGATGTATCTTCTACAAAATGTTACTCACCCTTTGTTATATTCGCATGCACTGGTGACGTACTACGACCCTACATGTCTTTTTTGCACAGCAGATTGTTTCTTGCGTTATATTTGTACCTAACTGTATGAGATTCTGCATGAAAATTACAATTCTCACTTTTCCCTAATAATTGAGGTCAACAAAGCTTTCCCATCACTGCCATCATCTTTGTCTGTTTTGTTCTCCTCACCAGTTCAAAATATTCCTCAGATCCCATTCTCTATTTGTTTACCTCATTCTTTCCTTCAGTGGCTACCTACCTAAACCTCTGCCCTTGCAATTTCTATGTGCTTATCCTGCCTTAGCTTCTTGACTCACTTAATTCCAGGTCTCTTTTGATACAATGACTAATTACCAGATTAATTTATCTTCTATTTCCACCTATTTCTTGTTCTCTGGTCCTATGATCACAGCTACAATAAAAGCAGATGCAGTATAAAATACGGTGGTAACTTTCAGGAAAGTTTTTACCTTGATATCAGAAGTGTCACGCTGACTATTGCGCCATGCTCTTGAAATAGATGAAAAAGTTCTGTCCGCATGATCAAACTTCCCACCTTGTAGATTTAGGAAAAGTGTTGTAAAGGGTTCCTAAATATATATAAAAATATTAATTAAAACCAGCAATGTATTTTTTTAGGAATTTCAGCAAAAAAAGGTATTTATTGTTCTTTTGGGGTTTGGTTATTAATGATGCTATTCTTCTAGCAGACATGGGATTAATTGCAAAGGGTTAATTCGATCATCCAAGAATGAGAAATACAAACTGAGGCTTACTTGTTCAATAAATATTTTTTATTCCTACTCCATGCATATATATTCAGATAAAGAAAAGCAAATAAAAATGAAAGACAATATTTACCGGCTGGAGGAGAAGCTACAGTCAGTTGTGACAAAAACTGCCCTCAAAAACATGAAAAAGCTCAAAATTTTTACATTAGATATTTTTTAAACTAGCATGTAACAAAAATAACACATGCATTTTATTTTGCTCAAGGTAATCTATTAATAGAAAGGGTAGCACTCAATACCGATAGCTTGATGATTGTTATTGTTTAATATGTAATTTATGATTTAGAAAAGAAAAATGTTTGAAAGATTTAAAAGCCTCCTCTTAGTTAAAGAACACTTAAGCACATATTAGTGGATAATTGCTTGAAATTAGCTAAGCGCTATAAATTACTTCAAGGATTTATGTATGCTTGTACATTCTAACAAGCTTTAATTAATGATGTGCTGCTAATGCTTTCCCAAAGAAATTACTTTCTAGGAGATAAATCGCCTTTCAATTTTTTAGAAAAATGTATTGTTTAACCAATATATTATCAATATGTAGTATCTCAAAAGTTACTTCCATATAAATTACAGCAGATTTTAAAAAATTATTTACATCACAGAATTTCATGATCATCAGAAAGCAACTCATTTACACTCATTAGGAGGTGAAAGTTAAATACATTCAGTAAGAACAACAAATGTTCAGTACATGATCCAGTCAGAAAATATGCAAGGAAAGAAAGTTAACCATGCTTAAAGTAGCATAAGAATGTACACTAAAAAGCAATTTTAAAGGAGAAAAATCTTTACTGACTTGAAAAGGCTGTATCGTAAAAAGTAAAAACTGCTGCTCAAACTTTGGAATACATTTATCTTATGCTACTGATTACAATTACTAGAAAATTCAGTACTCTCCTATGCCACTGAGTTTTCATTTATTCATTCCCAGCTATTCGTTGCTTTAATTATCATTTAAAGGAAAAGCATTTTTAAAATACATACTTACAATTCTTAATAACCATGTGAGTGCAAAACTTGCAGTTGAATAATGTGTGCCATAGTGAAATTTTGGAACCTGATCATCTTCCCATGATTCATATCTCTCAGCAAAGTACGCTGCTCTCTTTGGGTTCAAAGCTCCAATAGGCTGCAAGGTTTGTAAAATAAATACATTAAGTAAAGATAACATGGCCTATTACCACATCGTACTCCCCTTGCTCTTTTTGGTAGCCAGAATTATTGGCATGCATGGATAAGACTGGGTTTGGTGTTTTGCAAAAGCAGATGTTGGATTCTGTAAGCACCTGAACAGATCTGTGTATTTCAAACCAGGATTCCACACGCACACAGCTGGTTGGAAAAAAGTCTCTCCTGTGTTCATACTGGCTTCATTTCTATTTACTGCTGATTCAAGTCAATGACTAAAACCCACTTCACAGTGGATCATCTTGGACAAAGAGCTGTTAACTTCTCCGCCTGTGGGTATGCGTGCACGTTGAATACGCTGTTAAGTGAATGGTAAGCAAGAACAAGAAACATCTTTGGATATTGTTTTTTTGGGGGGAATAGTGATCAATAGGGTGAAAGAATACTAACAGTGCACTTGGAATTTTGATATTACTATTCTTGTTTCTAAGTTTTCTATTTACCATCCCAAGATAAGTTTTACTTAATGGATAAAACTTGAAACTTTGAAATAGACAAATTAAATAGCAGAATTTCTTTATAAAAACGTTGATATAAAAGAAACAAATAACATCTGCATAAGTAAAAAAGTCTATCACACTTTCACCAACATTGTTATTCTTTGTTCAGCACTCACCTAGGACATAAACACCCAGGGATTTATTTAAATGTAAGAAACACAATATTTTGTTATCTATAGCTGTGTATTTCTTCAGCAGACTTTTACATATGGATTTGGAAAAATTTGTATACATCACATAAATCACTGAGAAAAGTGAATTTAGCCATTCCACATGTAAAATGCTGCAAGAGGTCTAAAATATCTTTGTATATAAGTGCAAAACATATATGCAATACAATTTTGCATATATATTGAGCACACTGTTTGTATGTTATTAACGTAAATGATGCCCATCTGTACAGACAATGGATGCATTCAAGTATAACTGAAGAATAAACATGCAAAAATATTGTCTTCTTTCTGTTCTGCAAGAATAAGAATACACTACAAGGTAAGGAAAAACTTTAAAAGAAAAGTCCTTGAACAAAAGTATCAGTAACCTAGTCATTAATTCACACATAGTTCAAGTGAAAAACTGTCTGGTATTCAGATAATCATTATTATTCAAATAACTGCTTCCTTGCAGCTCACGTGAAATTTGGCATACGAGGTTCAAAGTATTTTCTCTTCTAGGATAGATTAGATCTATGAATGACCTAAGATCCAATCTTATGTTTTTTACTTAGAGCAGCTTTCACATTGCAGTAGGATAAAGAAAACATCTTAGGTTAATTACTATTTTTGCAGTTCACTAATTTGAAATATAACCCTTTAAAAGAAGTGGTTCCTGTATGAAAGGATTTTTATCTGATTTAGCAAATTTATTCCAGGGAAGAATGAAACTGACTCCAAGAAGTCTCTTTGTTGCAAGAACCATTTTGGAATCTCCATCTGTACTGATTTTCCCTAAAGACTCAGCTATGCTTGAGGGAAAAAAGAAGAAAGAAGGTCATTGGTAGACAAATTATATAAATTAAAAATAGAAGCAGTGTTGTGCTGTATGGTTCTGTAACATTTTATGTGTTCTCTTTATCTGCCCCTATTTTTATTACTCTCCAAATGAGTATAGCCCAAATCAATAGTTATAGAATTACATTCCTTGAATATAAAGCTAAACCCAATTAGAATTGATTTCATTCTCTTTTCAAAAAAAAAAAAAAAAAGGTATCATGCAGAGATCCGTATAGCCAGAATCCACAGTATTGATTTTGGCTGTTATTGTTACAGTTGGTTTCTGAAGCCTGCAACAGGACAACTATCAAGACATGTCACATTTATTTGCAAGCAAATAAAAAAAGTCCCCAAATGAAAGAAAGCTTAGGGAAAAAAAAAAAAGAACCGTGGAGCTGTGCACTGACAATGATACACTATCAGCTTACTCAGAGAAGTTACAGTGGGAATACACACATTGAATTATACATTACACGAATGCACTGATTTATTGTGGTAATAACATCCACCTCATTAAAAGATTCTGCTTTGCTGCAGTTGGAGGGCTACATATTGTTTACTGCTATAAATTAATGGCAGCGCACAGAAGACTGTAGAACCCTTCTAACAATAGATCTGTAATGACAGTGCTGTATATCACAGCTTCCCCAGCAGCTTCATAATAAAATGGAGACAATGTATTGGGCTAATACATTCTACCAGGCAGGCCCATATTTTTCTGACAACTGCTTCTAAGGATGAGGTGATTCTAGTGCGTTACACCGCACTGTGAACAGTTAACTAAGCTCAAGCTACAGAATAAAGCACATACAAGGAAGATGCAAATACACTCTGACTTTTCATTTAGTAAACAAATGAATTGAAATTTTGTGTTTATTACGTATTTCAAAATTAACAGGGAATCATGACCACATACTGGATTCCCTCCCCTGCAGGTAAATGCCAAGGGAAAAAGAGTAACTCCAAACTAAGCTATGCTAGATGTAGCTGCGAGACCACAAATTTACACTGCTCAACGTGGTTTCCTTACAGCTACAGACCACTAAAGAAAAACAAGCTGAAAATCTTTCATAATCAGAAATTCCAGAATCTATTTTTTTGCAGTACCTCTTTTTAGAGAGGAAAATTAGATACTAGTTCACAATTACAAATACTTATTCAGATGAGGGGAAAGAAGAAAAGTGGAGTGACAAAAAATGCCAAGCACCAAAAACAATGGATGAGATTACAGGAGTCAGGATGAAAAAAAGCAATCACTTATGGCTGCTGAGTTTTCAAACTGTACTGAAAAATGAATAATGCATATGGTTCTTGAGTCAGAGGTCATTCAAAAAAGGGTCCAAACTGGAGGAAGAACTGGGGTAAGGAAGGTTTTGTTTTCTCTTTTCCAAAGGCATGATCACCTGATCAACCACCCAAAGTGGTTGTTATAACAACACATACTACAAATACGAAAGTTACAAGCTGTTCTTAAAAAAAAAAAACTCATTTGATATTAATTTTTCAAGTGCTTTCAAATCTAGGAATACTTCAAAATAAATAAACCTCACATTTTGACCAAGAACTGAATATAGTAAATCTCAGTCTTTGGACCAAGCTTGCTTGCTTTCCTTGAGACACAACAAAGAAAAATGGTTTGTTGAAAAATAACTGAGAAAACACACTGACTCTTACCATCCACTGCTGTTAAATATGTCCAGGCACTATGGTGTACGGTTGTATTTGTTGGTTCTTAATCTTACTCTATGCCAGACACTGGAACAGTAGCTGATCTTGCCTCCATTTTCAGAAGAGGCCCTGTCGCAGGCAACAGAAGGCGGCAGAATGCTCACTGCTCCTCTGCACAGGGCAGACTCTCTCCTGGAGTCTGCTGCTCATGGTTGAGAATACATACATTTTGGAAAATTGCTAATGACCTAACATAAGCAGACCAAAGTCTTATAAAGAAAGAATTATGAGATGTTTATTTATAGTTACACATTTAAGAAGAAAAAGAGGTGCTGTTTATTCCTATCTAATGTGTTTTCATTTTTTAAATAGCGTTACTCCCAATAAACAGACATACCCTGCTCTTACCCATGCTGCCTTGTGTTATTGGCTTTGACACAGGCTTCTGTTATTAAAACAAACATTGCCACTTTTACTGTCTCCTGGCCACTGCAATAGTGGGAAGAGTTTTTAACTCATTAATATTCAAAATCCATGAAAGACTGGAGTACTATGGCAGTAAACTGCATGTAATTACTGCAAACAAAAAGTAGTCAAGATACCATAGTTTCACCTTCACTGTTAACTGTTGCCTCCTTCTGTGAGGATGGCAATCCTAACAATGACAACTGGAAATCAGGAGATCTGTGCAAATGCCTGGGAGTTCTGAAAAGTCGGCAGTTCCAGAAACAAAGTCCATGCTGACCAGCGCAAACAGGAAGATTTAAAAATTAACAAAAATGTTATTCTTTGAAATATGTATTTCAAAACGTCACCATTTTTATTTTTTAAAAATAAGGAAAGAAAGAAAAGAAAAAAAAAAAAGAAAAAAAGACAAAAAGAAAAAAAATGGGGGTGAAAGAAGAAATGCTTTTCCTTGTGATTTCTTAAATTGTTTTCTTATCCACATCTGTTGTGGTTTAACCCGGCAGGCAGCTGAACACCACACAGCCGCTCGCTCACTCCCCCCCCCCCTCAGTGGGATGGGGGGGGAAAAAAAAAAAAAAGGGAAACCTGTGGGGTGAGATAAAGACAGTCTAATAAAACAGCAGAGGAAAAGAATAACAACGACGACAATAATATTAATAATGGTAAGAGAATATACAGAATATACAAAACAAGTGAGGCACAGTGCAATTGCTCACCACCTGCTGACCGATGCCCAGCCCATCCCTGAGCAGCGATCACTCTCCCCCCCAGCCAACTCCCCCCAAGCATGACGTCCTATGGTCCGGCATAGCCCTGTGGCCAGTTGGGGTCAGCTGTCCCGGCTGTGCCCCCTCCCAGCTTCTGGTGCACCTGGCAGAGCAGGGGAAACTGAAAAGTCCTTGACTTGTGTAAGCACTGCTTAGCAACAACTGAACCATCAGTGAGTTATCAACATTCTTCTCATACTAAATCCAAAACACAGCACTATGCCGGCTACTAGGAAGAAAATTAACTCTGTCACAGCTGAAACCAGGACAACATCCATCCAGGTATTTGGATTCCTGTGAATACAATTGTCTGCATCATTGAATTATGCTTTGTAGCATCTGTGCCAAGAATGATGTTTGTTTTTCATACATTTTATTTTCAAGATGACTATCTGGTTTTCATTACTGATCTTTTTCATATATTCACTGGGCTTAAAGGACCAGGGGGACCATTAGGTCATCTCATCCC